CATCGAAGGCAGCGGGGGCAGGAACTCATGAAGGGCAGGATCCTAGAGGCAGGAGCTAATGCAGAGGCCATGGAGGGAAGCTGCTCACTGGTTTGCTCCTTTTCATTACAGGTAGATCTTCATAAGAGTGATTACTAACAATCACAGCACAGTCAATACCAGGCTATCTTGAAATCTCCTCTGCCAATGCTACTCATCCAAACTTTTCAATTTAGTCTGAGGGAGATTTTTTTTTGGACAAGGTCAGAAAACAGCCACATTCTTTGATAAGATATCACAAGAATAGTCTCTGGGCCACTTACTGAGTTTTCTCCTCTGAAACCTCTTGAGCTGGGCCATCATACCTACACAGGCCTGTTATAGCAATACCCCACTCCTGGTACCAACCTCTTCCTCAGTCATTGCTCCAAGCTGTGAAAAGACACCAGGAGCACAGCAATTCTTATAAAAGAACATTAATTGGGGCTGGATTATAGTTTCAGAGGTTTAAGTCGCTATCATGGCAAGGAGCATGTCAACACCCAATCAGACTTGGTGCTAGAGAAGCAGCTGAGAGTTCTATATCCAGGTCCACAGGCATCAGGAAGAGAATGACAAAGTGTCTGGCTTGAGCTTTTTAAACCTCAAAGCCTGCCCCCAGTGACACACTTCCTCTAACAAGGCCACACTTCCTATTTCTTCTCAATAAATGCTACTTTCTGATGACTAAGTACTCAAATAAATGAGCTTTGGGGGGCCATTCTTATTCAAACCACACTATAGTGCATGCATTAGTAAATGCTGAAATAAAATATTGTATTCTATCTGATCATAATGAAACTAAACTAGAATCAACTGTAAGAGAAACTATAGAACAAATGCAGACTCAGAGATTGAATAACACAGTGTTGAATCAAGAAGGAAGGGGCTGGAAAGATGGTTCAGTGGTTAAGAGCACTAGCTGCTCTTCTAGAAGGTTCAATTCCCAGCACCCACATAGCAGCTCACAACTGTCTGCAACTTCAAGTTCAGGGAATCTGATATCCCCACAGACATAAATGCAAGCAAACACCACTGCACATGAAATAAAATAAATAAATGAAAGTCAGGAAGGAAGATGAAAAATTCCTAGAGTTGAATGAAAGTGAAAATACAACATACCACCTATGGACACAATGAAAGCAGCTCTAAGAGAGATGTTTATAGCTACAAGTGCCAACACTAGAACACCAGAGAGATATCAAGTAAACACCTTAGGGCCTGGGGAAAATGAGAACAAACTAAACCCAAAAATTGGTAGTTAGAAACTAAGATTAGGGCAGAAGTTAGTGAAAGGGAAATGAAAACAACATAAAGAATTAGTGAAAATAAGTTGGCTGCTGTGCTGAACATTTGCTCAGCTGGCAGAACATTTGCTTAGGATGCATGGAGCATGCATTTCTATCCCCAGTACACACTTAGAAAACTCACAAAGCAGAGAAATCCAGAGAGCTCAGGGAAACCTGTGCTCGTGGGAGCTCATGGACTCTAGACAGACAGCTAGGGAGCCTGATGGGACCGACCTGCATATCAGTGACAGTTATGTAGCTTGTGGGGCCTCTAGCAGTGGGACCAGGATCTGTCCCTGGTGTAGGAGCTGGCTTTTTGGAACCTATTCCCTATGGTGGGATGCCTAACTCAACCTTGATGTAGGGTTGGGAAGGAGCTTGGTCCTGCCTCAACTTGATACACCATGCTTTGTTGACTCCCATGGGAGACCTTATCCTTTCTGAGGAGTGGATTGGGGTGTGTGTGTGTGGAAAGGAAGCGTGAGGATGGAAGGAAAGGAGAGGAGGGAGGGGAAACTGATTGTTATGTAAAATAAATTTTAAAAAAGAATTAAAAAAAGAGAAAATTCAGAAGGCAAAGCAGGAGGATCAGAAGTTCAAAGTTATCCGTGGTTACACAGCAAATTTGAGCTAGCCTGGAATAAGAAACCTTGTCTCAAACAAACAACCAAGGGTTGGTTCTTTGAGGGAACAACAACAGAACAACGCTGACAAACCCTTGGCCACACACACACACACACACACAGAGAGCGAGAGAGAGAGAGAGAGAGAGAGAGAGAGAGAGAGAGAGAGAGAGAGAGAGAGAGAGAACAAGTTAATAGAATTGGAGATTAAAAGGAAACTTTATAACAGATACCACTGACAATCTGAAAATCATTATATTCCACTAAATGGGAAAACACAATAAATGGAGGCATTTCTAGATGCAGAAAATCTACAAAAATTAAACCAAAATGAGATAAACAATTTAAACAGTTCTAAATATACAGTGAGATTAAAGTAGTAGTTTTTTGGGGTTTTGTTTTATTTTTCAAGACAGGGTTTCTCTGTGTAGCCCTGGCTGTCCTGGAACTCACTCTGTAGACCAGGCTGGCCTTGAACTCATTCATGCCTGCCTCTGCCTCCTGAGTGCACCACCCAGTGTAACCACCACCCAATTGAAAAAAGTAATTTTTAAAAATCTAACTATAAAAGTCCAGGTGCAGATGGATTGGCTGCCAAATTCTACAAGACCTTCAGAGCATTAATACCAATGCTCATCAAATTATTTAGTAAAATAGAAAATGCAGAGACATTCCCAAATGCTAGCATTAACCCTGATACTAAAACCAGCAGATATACTGACAAAAACAATTATAGACCAATCTCCCTGATGATGAACCCAGATACAGATACTCAAGAAGACGGGGAGCTGGAGAGATGTTTGGTAGTTAAGAGCATATATTGCTCAAGGCTGCAAAGATAGTTGGCTTAGTGGTTAATAGCACTGACTGCTCTTCCAGAGGTCCTGAGTTAAATTCCCAGCAATGACATGGTGACTTACAACCACCTAAAATGAGATATGATGCCCTGTTCTGTCATGCAGGTATACATGCAAATAGAGCTTCATATGCATAAATAAATCTTAAAAATAAAAAGAGCATATACTGCTCTTTCGTAGCATCTGAGTTCAGTTTCCAGCACCCACAACTTAGCAGCTCACAACCACCTATAACTCCAGCTCTAGGCAATTCAACTCCCTCTTCTGGCATCTATGGGCAACTGTATGCACCTGGCATACATTCAGACAGAAATAGAAATAAAATATTTTAATGAGAAAACAACCAACAACAAATGCTGGTGATGTGGACAAAGGGGAAAATTGCTTGTGGGAACATAAGCAACATAAGCTAGTCCTTCACAGTGGAAAGCAGTACAGAGAAGTCTTAAACTGAAAGTAGATCTACCAGACAACCTACCTATACCTCTCCTGGGTATTTACATGAGAGGCTCTCAATCAACACACCATACAGATACCTTACTCCATTGTTGACTACAGCTCCCCCTTCACAATAGTTAAGTTGTGAACCAGACTGGGTCTCCAAAGATAGAACAGTAAAGAAAATTGTGGTTTCTACACACAATGGAAGTTTTTCAGGCACAAAGCAGGATGAAGTTATGTTATTTTCATGAAAATGGATATAACCGGAGATGATCACATTAAACTTATGAAACCAGTCTCAAGAAAGACAAAAGATTGTGTTTGTTTAATCAATGCTTCCTGGATATATAGAGATATGTAGCACCATATATGTATACATGACAGGAAAGCAGATGTGAGGCTTCCTAGGAGAACAAAAGGGACTAGGGAAGAGGGGTAAGAAGGGAGGACATAGACTAGGGAAGGAGATAAGCTCAACATACAACTTAGTGTATGAACAAAAGCAATCTACAGATCCAACAAAAGTAATCTACAGATCCAATGCAATACCCATCAAAATTCCGACACAATTCATTACAGACCTTGAAAGAACAACATTCAACTTCATATGGAAAAACAAAAACCCCAGGACAGCTAAAACAATCCTGTACAATAAAGGAACTTCCAGAGGTATCCTGATCCCTGATTTCAAGCTCTACTACTGAGCTACAGTAATAAAAACAGTATGGTATTGGCATAAAAACAGACAGGTGGATCAATGGAATTGAATGGGAGATCCTGATATCAATCCACACACCTATAGACACCCGATTTTTTGACAAAGAAGCCAAAATTATACAATGAAATAAGAAAGAAAGCATCTTCAACAAATGGTGCTGGCATAACTGGATGTTGACATGTAGAAGAATGCAGATAGATCTGTCACCATGCACAAAACTCAAGTCCAAGTGGATCAAAGACTGCAACATAAATCCAGTTACACTAAATTCAATAGAAGAGAAAATGGGAAAGAGCCTTGAACACATTGGCACAGCAGATCACTTCGTGAATAGAACACCAGTAGCACAGACACTGAGGCAACAATGAATAAATGGGACCTTCTGGAACTGAATGTAAAGAATCAGCCCCCCTTACTCTTCCAACCTATTCAGTGAAGCAAAGTCTTTTAACCAAGTTCATGGCTAATTAGCTAGCTTGCTCTAGGGACTCCATACATACCTCCCAAGTCTGGAATTACAAGTAGGCTGCCACATCCACCTGGTATTTCCATGAATTTCTGAGAATCCAAACTCTAGTTCTTCTTATGCAGAACAAACACTCTAACCCCTGAGCCACTTCCTTAGTCCCTGAGGAAAGATGTTTTAGATCAGGTTAACTGAGGTGAGAAGACTCATTCTGAATTCAGGGGCTGTCTCAAACAAGATGAGGGCTGGGGGCTGGGGTAACAGTCTGAACAAAAAGGAGGTGGCCAGCTGAGCATCAGCATCCATCTCTCTGCTTCTTGAGCATGGGTGCAATGTGACTGGGCTCCTACCACCATGCCAGAATGTACCCTCAAACTATGAACACATCTTTCCTGGAGTTGCTTTTGGTGGGAGCTTTATCCTAACAAGAAAAATAACATGAAGCCATATACATAAGAAGTGAAAGTATTGACATTTTATTAAGTTTTAAAAGCTTTACATGTGACAAAGTTAGGTGTGGTGCTTCTCAAAGACGTTAGCCCTGTGTTGCTTGCTCATTGTGAAGTTGTGAGGGGTCTCATGTTTGAGCGCTTCATGTATTCACACTCTCAGCCCTGGATTGTGGAAACTGTCACCATCTTCTTCCTTCAAGGAAGAACAGATGCTGTTATGGTTCAGGTCACCAATGTGCCATCCCAGCGCCTTTGATTCCAATATCCCAGCTGGACCAGGATTTGTTCCAGTGAATTCTAGAACTTAGCTCAGTGACCAGGCCCCTCTAGAGGCACAAATCATCCAAATACTTCCTAGGATGGGCTTGGGGGTGGGTGGGAGTGTGGAGCAGGTGTTGGGGAGGAGCTGGTGGAGCGGGGCTTACAAGTAGCTGTGAGTTGCCTTATGAGGGTGCTGTGAACTGAACTCAAGTCTTCTACAAGGGTGGTGTGTGCTCACAACAATCGAGCCACCTCTCCAGCCCTCATCTTGTTTGAGACAGGATCTCTCACTGGCCTGGGACTCACTCATTAGACTAGGCTAGCTTGCCACCAAGCCCCAGATACCTTCTTGTCTTCATTTCCCCGGCACTGGGATGACAATGCATACCATCATGCCTGGCTTTCATGTGGGTTCTGGAGACTGAACTCAGGCCTTCATGTTGCAAGGCAGGCACTTTAGGACTGAACTATTTCACAGACATCAAAAGCTGGCATGACACAGCTGTGTATGTGGCGAAATATAGACAACAAAAATCTTTCAGGGTATTGTTATGTAGCCCAGACTGACCTCTACCTTTCAGCCCCTCAGTCTGGGATTACAGATGTACACCGCCATGTCTGACCTATCAAGTCTAACTTTGCTTTTTTTTTTTTTAAAGACAGATTCTCATGTAGCCTAGGCTGACCTAAAATTCCTACTATGCCTGCCTCTGCTTCCTGAGTGCTAGGATTACAGGTGTGGACCTCTTCACTGGGTTCAGTTAGTTTAATTTTAGTAATTACAAAATGTGTGTGTGTGTGTGTGTGTGTGTGTGTGTGTGTGAGAGAGAGAGAGAGAGAGAGAGGAGAGAGAGAGAAGAGAGAAAGCACATGTACATATTCCATAGTGTGTACGGAGGTTAGAGGACAGCTTGTGGGGGTTGGCTCTCTTTCACTAAGTAGACCTGGGATTGAACTCAGACCATAGGTTAGGCAGCAAGCACCTTTACAAGCCCAGCCACTTTACCAGCTCCATCTTAAGGATTCTTAAGTGGAATTTGTTGCCACTGAGAATGTGTATGAAGTGAACCCATCACCTCTACCCATCCCCATCATCCCAAGCTGAAATGAACTCTCTGTTCCTATTTAATGCTAACACATTTTCTACCTTACCCAGGCCCTGGACCCACCATTCTCTACTTCCTGTTGCTATGAGTTTGCTCACTCTCAGGACCTCACAGAAGTAGAATCAAACAAGAGTGGTTCTTTTGTTTTGTGTGTGTGTGTGTGTGTGTGTGTTTGCAGTATGTGTGTCTACAAGTGTGCAAATGTTCACGTGCACTCACGTTTACAGAGTATGGAGACTGACTTCAGGTGTGTTCCTCATTCACTCTCCACTTTAGCTTTTTGAGACAGTGTCTCTCACTGAATCCGGAACCCAGTTTGGATAGACTGGATGGCCATCAGTGCATCTCTACCTTCCAAATGATGCATTTACAGGGGCATATGCCATGCTCAGCTTTTTACATGGAGGTTGGACTGTATGTAACTCAGGTCCTCATGCTTGTCTGGCAAACACTTTACCAATGTAAGTATATCTTCCAGTCCCCATAGCCTTGAACTCACTATGTAGACAAGGATAGCTTTGAACCCCTGACCCTCTTGTGTTTACATCCTGGGTACTGGGGTTATAATCCAGTGTCATTGCCCCTAGATAACTTTATGTTATGTATGTTTTACCACTCAACAGATCTTTATGAAAACTTATCTGATCTCCATTTCCCAGGGTGGCAGACAACTCAGATATTTTGTGGGATAACTCATCCCCAACCTTTGTATTCTAGAAAAAGACAAAATGCAGTCAGTGGCAAAATGGTTTTCCAAAAGCTGGGCCAGACTGCATTGTTTGCATTCTTAAATAGAAAATCATCTTTAGTATCTTGCCCCTTCCCTTCCCATTCCCTCTGCTCTCAACAAAAGTGCCAAGAAAAAGACAGTTTTTAAACCAGAAATGAAGAGATTAGTCTCCCATGGGTGTAGACTGGCTTTGTGTGCACTAGGGAAACCAAAGGTCAACAACCTCAGTTGTCATTCCTCAGGAGCTGTCCATGTTGCTTAACACGTGTGTGTGAGTGTGTGTGTGTGTGTGTGTGTGAGTGTGTGCGTGTGTATGTGCGCATGCATGTGTGTATGTGTGCATGCGTGCGTGCGTGCCTGTATGTGCGTGTGTGTGTATATGTGTGTGCGTATGCGCGCACGTGTGTGTGTGTGTGTGTGTGTGTGTGTGTGTACCACAGCATGCTGAGGTCAAGGACAACTTTCAGGAGTCATTTCTCTCCTACTGTGTGGATCACAGAGACTGAATTTGTTACGCTTGACACTAATGCCTTTACCCAGTTGGGCTGGACAGTTTAGTTTTTGTTTTTCAAGACAGGGTTTCTCTGAGTATCAGCCCTGGCTGTCCTGGAACTCACTCTGTAGACCAGGCTGGCCTTGAACTCAGAGATCTGCCTGCCTCTACTTCCCAAGTGCTGGGATTAAAGGTGTGTCCATCACCGACAGGCTGTGCTGGTTAGTGTTAAGTCAATTTGACAAAGGCTAGAATCATTTCAGAGGTGGAAACATCAGTTAGGAAAGTACCTCCAGCCAGGCAGTGGTAGCAAACACCCTTGATCCCAGCACTCAGGTGGTAGAAGCAGGTGGATCTCTGATTTCGAGGCCAGCCTGGTCTATAGGGCAAATTCCAGGTCAGCCAAGGTTACACAATAAACTCTATCTCAAAAAACCAAATAAATAAGAGAGAAAAAGAGAAAGAGAGAAAGAAGGAGGGAAGGAGGGGGAGGGAGGGAGGGAGGGAGGGAGGGAGGAAGGAAAGAAGGAAGGAAGGAAGGAAGGAAAAGATGATTCCATAAAATTGGTCTGTAGGCAAACCTGTAGAACTTTTTTTTTCTCTCTCCCCTTCCCTTCCCCTTCCCCTCCCCTTCCCCTCCCCATCCCCTTCCCATCCCTTTCCCTTCCTTCCTCCATTCCTTCCCTTCCCTCCCTTCCTTCCTGTTTTTTTGTTCTTCAAGACAGGGTTTCTCTGTATTGCTTTGGAGCCTTGTCCTGGAACTAGCTCTGTAGACCAGGCTGGCCTCACACTCACAGAGATCTGGCTGCCTCTGCCTCCTGAGTGCTGGGACTAAAGACATGCACCACCAACACCAGCTCCTGTAGGTTATTTTCTTAATTGGTGATTAATGGGGGAAGAGCCCAGCCTATTACAGATGGTCTGTCCCTGGGCAGGTGGTCCTTGGCTCTATTAAGAAAGCAGGTTGAGTGAGCCATGAGAAGCAAGCTGGTAAGCAACATCCCGCCATGGCCTCTGTATCAGCTCCTACCTGTATCAGTTCCTGCCCTATGTGAGTTCCTGTCCTGATTCCTTCCATGATGAGCAGTGAAATGGAAATGTAAGCCAAATAAACTCTTCCTCCCCAATTTGCTTTCGGTCATGGTGTTTCATCATAGCAATAGAAACCCTGACTAATACAACATGGATGCATCTCACCAGCCCCTCCACATCAGCTTGTTTTGTTTTGTGAGACAGGATCTCTTGCTGGATTGGAACTCCACTTGGCTAGACTGGCTATCCATAGTCCCACCCAGAACTGGGATTATAAACGTGTGTCGACATGCCTGGATTTTTTTTCATGGGTTCCAACTCAGGTCCTCATGCTTGCACAACAGGCACTCACCAAGCTGAGCCACCTCCCAGCTCACAGACAAGCTGCTTGATACTCAAAGGCCACCTAAAGAACAGGAGCCAGGAGGGCAGCCAGCTAAATTCAGGAGGGTAGGGAGAGAAGTCACCATAGCTGGATTCATAGCAATAGTGTCAGAAGCATGGCTACCAAGAGGCAGCCACAGGACACAGGCCCTTGTTACTCACCTCACCAAAGTATTTCTCAATAATGTTCAGGGCACTCTGGCTAATATGACAATTCTGGTGGAGCTGTAAGGACTCAATTTTTTCAATACCACCAACTTCTTCCATCAAAAGACACAGTTTTTCCTTCTCATGCAGCTTATCTGCCTCCTGAGGATGGATGGGGACCAGCGAAGAGACCATCAGACACTTGAGTGTGCTGGAGGGGGTTGGGAGGGGGGTGCGGTCACTGGCTGGCCCTAAGGCAGCTTTCCTAGGTGGAGACAGACCTGTTCCAGTAGTAATGGTCACATACCCATTGGAAATGTCAAGATTTACTTCTCATTTCATTAATTCATTTACTCAATCATGCACGTGTGCATTCATTCACAAAATCACTCATGAATTCATTCATTCACAAAATTACCCACAAAGTCATTCATTCACAATAATCATCCATGAACTCATTCACTCACAAATACATTCATGAATTCACCCGTGCATTTACTTGTTTACACATTCATTCGTTCATTCATTCATTTACTTTTCTACTCAAAATGTATCCAAATTGGAGATTACAAATGTAATAAATATAAGAATGCTTTTGTCCAAAGCACTAAAGAATTTAGAGGGAAAACTATGAAAAAAATATGTAACAAACAACCAAGTGTAAACCGGGCAGTGATGGAGCAAGCCTTTAATCCCAGTACCTGGGAGGCAGAAGCAGGCAGAATTTTTTGAGTTCGAGACCAGCCTGATCTACAGAGCAAGTTCCAGGACAACTGGATCTGTTTCACAGAGAAACCCTGTCTTGAAAAACCAAACAACAAAAGCCCAAATCTATATAAGCATTACAAGACTCTAGAAACTACTAAGACAGGGTTTCATGTAGCCCAGGCCAGCCTTGAACTTGGCTATGTAGCGGGACATAATAACCTCAATTCCGGATCCTCCTACTGCCACCTCTCAAGTGTTGGTATGACAAGCACAACTCAGTCCCTAAAGGAACACACGGTGTCAGTGCATGGTGTTCCCCTACCCTTTGTCCTTACTGTCCTGGAGAAATGATGCTGTTCTGTCAGTACTACCCACAAAGGATTTATGGTACTTTCCAAGCCTGTCCTATCCTCTATGACTTAATCACCTGATGGGTCACTAGATCTGTTAAACGTTTGATATAGGGAGGCTGGAGAAAGGGTTTGGGGGCCAAGTGTATTGACTGTCTTTCCAAAGGACATGGGTTCAGTTCCCAGTGCCCACACAGTGGCTCACAAACATCTGTAACTCCAGTTCCGCTGGATCCCACGCCCTCTTCTGGCCTCTGTAGGCCCTGCAGGCACGTGGTGCCCAGATATACAAGCAGGTAAAATACCCATTCACATGAAATAAAAATAAATCAGCCTTTTAAAAAACTCTGATACATGGTGGTGCATTCCTGTATTCTCAGCATTTCAGAGGCCTCGTGATGCAGAAGGATTACCCGTGTGTTCTATGTAAGCCTGCCTGGGTTACATAGAGAGCAAAACAAAAAACCTAATTCAGGGCTGGGGAGATAGCTCAGGGGACCTGAGTTCAGTTCCCAGCACCCACAAGGTGACTCACAGCACCTGTGGTGAGCTGCAACTCTAGCTCCAGGGAACTCTGATGCCTCTGTTGGCACACAATTCAAAATAAAAATAAATCTTCTTTAAAAAGGCCAGTAACTCTTTTCTTCAAGACAGGGGTTCTCTGGCTGTCCTGGAACAGTTCTCTGGCTGTCCTGGAACTCGATCTGTAGACCAGGCTGGCCTTGGACTCACAGAGATCCGCTTGCCTCTACCTCTCTGAGTTCTGGGAGTAAAGTGCACACCAGCCACAATGCCTGGCTCAACTCTTTCAAAGTGTGTTTTTTGCTCTGTGGGTTTCTCAGCCTCACATAAGATAATCCACATCTTCACCAGCCAGTTTCACCTGGCCCCCAACCCAAGCCTTGGGTCTGCTCCCTCTCCATTTTCCAACCACTTGCTCTTGCTACGTCTCCCCTCAACATTCCCTTTGCCTAGAATGTTCTGCCCCTCCCCCCGCCAGTGTCCACAGGACTCTCTACACTCAGGTCTCTGGTGGGGAACCTTCCTCAGAGAATGGTCCCTTCCCCGAGCACCGCCATTTGTGGCAGCAGCCACTCCCTACCTGAACGAGCAATGATTACTCAGTCCGATCCCTTCACAGGAAACCTCTGCGGCGGCGTCCCCTGTGCCACTCACACATGCGCCACATGACACGGGTTCCAACAGGTCTGTTCTGAACACTTGTCCCAGAGGTACTCACGTGAGAAACCGGAGGCACCCCACCCACACACTTTCTTCGTAGACTTGGTTGCCCAGCAGGCTAACCTCAAACATTCTACTTAGCCTAGCTAGGCGGCCCTCAAACTCATGGCCTCCTTCCTGTCTCCAGAGTGCTAGAATGACAGGTATATACTGCCAAGATTAGCTTGGACGTTCTTTTCTTGTTTCTTCCCCCCCCCCCTTTGTGTTATCCACGGTATATGGGGAGGGTGGGAAGAATGGCAAGAGAATCCTACTCAGTATCATTCATTCATTCATTCATTCATTCATTCATTCAGAGTCAGGGTCTCGTGCAACCCAGGCTGGCACTAACTGGCTGTACAGCTGGAGATGACCTTGAACTCCTGATCCTCCCCTCTCCATCTGGGATTTTAGGTATGTAGCAGCATGTCTGGGTTACGTGGCACTGTGGCTTCATGCATGCTAGGGAGGCATCCTAACACATGAGCTAAATCCCAGCACGACCCACTTGCTTTACTTTTTAAAAACTTGTTTACATTCAATTTCTCTCTCTCGCCCTCCACCCCTTGGGTATGCATCGACACATGTACATTGCACAGGTGTGAAGGTCAGGTGTCAAACTTGCCACATGGGTCCTGGGGATTGAACTCAAGTGGTCAACTTGGTGACAAGCACCCTTACCCATTGAGCCCTCATGCCACCCCCTCCAAGCAACCCCACTGCTATATTTCTAAGAAGCAGCTCACTGTCTCCAGTTGGAGACTGCCTGTTCAGAACATCTTACCTGGAGAAAGAAAGAAATAATGTCAAGAATAACGGTGATGATCTTTATGTCTGGAGCAGTGAGCAGATTCAGCAGCGGCTCCAAGACTCCTGAGTGAATAAGCAAGGCCAGCTGGCTCTGAGAGGCCCCTGTTGCAATGTTAACCACGGTCCATACAGCTTCCTTCTGGACCTTGAATTCTGCCTGCAACAACAGAGGTTTGCATTCTCTACAGCACCCAAGGGCCAGCATACAGTGATGCTGACTTGATTTGATTTTTGTTGTTTTTATACATTTTTGAGACAGGCTCCCATGCAGTCCAGGCTGGCCCCCAGCTTGCTATAGAGACGAGAACCTTGAATTTCTGATCCCCCGCCTCTACTTCCCAAATGCTATCCTTACAGTGAGTACCACCTTCCATCTTTTATTTTATTTAAGCTTTACTATATAGCCCAGGCTACCCCAGGACTCACTATGTAGCCTAGGCAGGCCTTCAATTTGCAATCTTCCTGTCACAGCCCCCCTGAATGTTAGGATTCTGGTGTGCCACCAGACCTGGTCTTAACGCTGTAGGTCAGATAGTAAGAGCTAAAATTACATAAGAAGTTTATGTCTCATGCCCTGACAACCACCTTTGATTCACCAGAATACAACACCTGAGCAGAGCCATGAAGTAGGAAGACTGACTCCCACGGGACGTTACTTTTCTTTCTTCCTCTTCTTAGATAGGGTCTCATGTGGCTCAGACTGGTTTTACAAGCACAGTGTAGCCACAGACGACCTTGCACTTCTCAATATCACACTACTTTCTCTTCACGTGGATGCTGGGATTGAACTCAGTATTCATGCTTGTACAACAGGTGCTTTACAGACTGTCTCCCCAACCCTGCCACTTACGTACTTACGTTTCTTAGTAGGGCTACCAACTGGGGCAGCAGGTTACATGCAATCAGCTGCTGGATGTGGTGTCTGGGCCCAGCTGCCACATTGCTCATGGCCCAGGCAGCTTCCTTCTGGATAGAGGACTTTGGGTGTCTCAGGAGCTGGCCCAGGACCTTCAACATGCCAGCATCGATGGCCATCTGGGTCTGCTGGTCAGTTCCTGTGACAATGTTACCCACAGTACGGAGAGAAGGGGTCTGGAAGGACCAAGAAAAATGTCTAAATGTTGCAAATGTGGCATAGTACAGGTGACTCACATGCTGAATGCCCAGAAAGGTCTGGAAGTTTGTGCTGTTTTATCCACTTAACATACCCATAGCTGCTTTCACATATTTTCAAGTGTTTGCTAGCTTCTCAAAAGTTCTCAGTTAAGGTAGATAGATAAGGGACGCTTGTCAGAAAATGATAGTATGCTGGGGGAGGGGGGGCTGGCTGTGTAGCTGGTGGTAGGGCACTTGCCTAGCATGTGTGAAGTTCTGTGTGTATAAACCTGGCATGGTGGGTGCTACATATCTGTAATCCCTGTACATGGGAGGTGGAGTAAGGAGGTCCCAAAGTTCAAGGTCTTTCTTGGCTAAATAATGAGTTTTAGGCTAGCCTGGACTACGTGAGACTCTGTCTAAAAAAACAAAACAAAACAAAATACCGCTGTCCTGTTTTTTGCTTAGGGGTTTTGAGACAGGTTCTCTCATGTAAGTTCAGGTTGGCCTTGAACTCATTATGTGGCCAAGTTTTTGATCCTCTTGCCTTTGTCTTGAGACAAGGCCTCAGCCCACACTGCTCTCCAACTCAGTATGTAGTCGAGGATGACCTTGAACTTCCTGATCCTCCTGCCCCCACCCTGAATGCAAGGGCTACAGGTGTGCTCCACACATGCACAGTACTGAGGATGGAGGCCATGGCTTCCTGCATGCTGGGCGAGCATCAGCTGAGCACCACCCCTACCCCTGGCCTTGAATTCAGTCCTTTCTCAACCTCTGCCGGGATCACCCGTGTGCACCGCATGTCCACCTTCCTGAACTCTGAGCTGGGGAGAGTGTGAAGCTAATTGTGGAGTCTACTGCGCATTCCCGTTCATGCTGACTCTAGGCTTCTGCTGTCTATTCAACTAGAGCCAACCAGCACCCAGTGTTGTATCTTGAGGTGTTCACCAGCCTCTTTAAGTAGCTCCAAGGTTCCCCAGGGTGGGTCTGTGATGGAGCGTAAAGTGACAAGCATCTCAGGAGAGCTGAATGTAGATGTATTTGGCTTTCTCTGTGCTGCTATGGTAGCCCTTAGTGAAGGCTATCAAGAGTGCTAGGTTTCACACCATCAGGCTAATCTGTCACTCACATGAGGGGTGGACTGGTAACTACAGCCTTATCCTGGTAATACCAACTGGGCCTCAGCACTCCTGTAAAAAGTTGCTAGTCTCATATTTATGTTCGTCCATTCTCCCAGCCTCCTAGTGCAGTTGCTTTAATCAACACTGGACCTGGCTGCTTCTCTGATATTCTCCCTGCCCCCAAGTATTATCACTAAACTCACTTTGCCATCTGGAAAATACTACGGTAGTCTCAGAAAAGATGGCTACTAGAGATGTATATGGTACAATGAGAATATAGTGACAGAGAGGTCAAGGAGGAATGAAACCAGACACATTGGCATGAACCATAGTCCCAGCACAGGGGAGGTAGAGGCAGAGAGGATCAAGAACCTGGGGTGACTCTGTATATTAAAATAAAATAAAATAAAAAAGCCAGGCATGGTCCTGGGTGACTTTAATTCCCCCACTCAAGAGGCAGAGACAGAGGCAGAAACAGATCTGGGAGTGTGATGTCTGGTCTGGGGCTACACAGTGACACAGTGAGATCCTGTCTATCTGTCTGTCTGTTTTTGTGTTTGTGTATCTCTGTCCATCTCGTGTATCTTGTCTGTCTGTGGCTGTCTGTGTGTGTATGTGTCTCTGTGTGTGCATCTGTCTCTGTGTATCTGTGTGTGTCTGTGTGTCTGTCTGTCTCTGTGTCTCTATCAGTCTCTGTGTCTGTGTGTGTCTCTGCATGTGTCTAAATCTGAGTGTGTCTGTCTCTGTGTGTGTCTGTGTCTTTCTCTGCCTCTATTTCTCTGTTCCCATATATATATATATATATATATATATATATATATATATATATATATCCATCCCTGTTCTCTTACCCCATCCCTCTTCTCTCCGCCCCCCCTCCTCTCCGCCCCCCCTCCTCTCCGCCCCCCCCCTCCTCTCCGCCCCCCCCTCCTCTCCACCCCCCCCTCCCTCCGCCCCCCTCCTCTCCGCCCCCCCTCCTCTCCGCCCCCCTCCTCTCCGCCCCCTCCTCTCCGCCCCCCTCCTCTCTGCCCCCCCTCCTCTCTGCCCCCCTCTGCCCCCCCCTCTCTGCCCCCCCTCCTCTCTGCCCCCCTCTTCTCTCTGCCCCTCTCTCTTCTCTCTGGCCTCTCTCTTCTCTCTGCCCCCCTTCTGTTCTGGTGCATGTCGCTGCCTTGTGTGTATGTGTCTCTGTCCCTCTCTCCATTTCTGTTTCTTTATCTCTCATACACATACAGAAACACACACAGACAGAATGGAGAGAGGGAGAGAAGGAGGGAGAGGGGGACTAAGGGAGGGAGAGAGGGAGGGAGGAAGAGAGGGAGAGAAAAGGGAGAAAGAGAGAGAAAGAGAGAGGGAGGGAAAGAGGAAGGGGAGAGAGAATAAACCAACTTGCTCAGGTTAAAATTAGCAGAACATTAGGAAAATGTTAGAAAGGTCTCTGAGAGGTAGGGTTATAAGCAGTTCACTTGCTGCTCTTCAGGTGGAAAAAACCTAAGTTCTTTAACTGCCACTGGAATCTGAGATGGAAACTTATCTAAGAGCTGAGACTTACAGGTGATAAGCTGGGTTTCAGCGGAAGAGTTAGAGTTGGCAGAAGATGTAGGGTAGGAGGTGGAGATAAGACCCTCATACAGGAGACCTGGGTGGGAGGAGGAGATGAGAACCTAATATAGCGAATTGGACTCATAGGATCTGTTTTTGGTTTTTGAGCCATGGTGTCACATAGTCCAGGCTAGTCTTGAACTCACTATGCAGCCAAGCAGGACTTGAACTTCTAATCTTCCTGCCTCCATCTCCCCAGTGCCCAGATTGCAGCATGTTCTGCCACGCCTAGTTTCTATGGTGCTGGGGAATGGAACCAGAGGTTGGGGCAAGCACTCTTGAGCTGAAGTCATGGCACCCACACACTCTAATCTGAGGCCTCTTGCAAAGACAGGTGAGACCCAGGGTGACATTTACCAAGATAATGAGTTCTGAGCTGGTCATGAGCTCTACGAGCCTGGGCAGGACCCCCATGGCCACCACATGATGGATTCGGTCATTGTGGCCCTCCGTGAGGTAGGACAGGGCCCAGCAGGTGTCTGAGAGGATGTCATTGTCATGATGCTGCAGGAGCTCAGAGAGGGCAGGCAGCATCTGCAGCACAGCCTGCTCACAAGGGTATGGGTTCTTGTTTCGGCACAGGTTAGACAAAGTCCATGTGATGTTCCGAAGAAATGTGATCTGTGATGGGGTGCAAAGGAGACAAAGTGTAAAGGGTAGCATGCCCTTCCCGTCCCCGATCGATACTATTGATTAGCACAGACCAAAGCTTTTGTGCATCAGAATGAACTCATTTCAGGCAGTGGTATGTGCCGGGGCAAATCCAATGAGCTTTATAGTTAAATATTTAAATGTCCTATGAAGGTTTCTTTGTATTCCTCACAATGCCTTCCCCCACTCTGCTCAACAAATGCCTTAATTATTTTAAGATTTTTTTTTATGTGTATTGACAAGCATCTGTGTTTGGGTATGTGCCATGTGTGCACACAGGTGCTCTTGACTGCTGAGCCATCTCCCCAGCCTCCTAGCCTACTGATTTAGCATTGGTACCATGTGTGTAAGTGCACATATGTCTATGTCACGACATATATGTGGTGATCAAGAAGATAACCTCACCTTCCATTTTCACCTTGTTTGAGACAGGTGCTTTGCTCTTTGAGTTTGTATACACCAGGCTTTCTAGCCAGGGATTCTCCTGTTCCCACCTCCTAGTTCACTACTGCGGTTACAGGCATGTGCTACTGAACCTGGCATTATGCGGTCTTGGGATTTGAACTCTGGTCCTCACACTTGCACAGAGAGTACTTTACCCACTGAACCATCTACCTGCCCTTGATCTCATTTTCATTGACAAACAAAACAAAACAAAGAGCTGACTGCAGACACACATGTCTATTGTCTCAGTCATGGTGAAAATAGATTCTGAGTTTGAGCCTGATGGGCTGCATGGAGTTCAAAGCCAGCCTAGAATACATGAAGACTATGTCACAAACAAACTCAGGAATTCTTTGGTCTTCTTGCCATCGATAACTACTGGCCTGCCATAAATTCATATAATATATATGGTGATAGCAATTGAGCCCAGGGTCTTGTGTATGTTAAGCAAGCATGCTACCACTGAGCTACATTCCTTTTATTCCTTTTGTGAGGAGATTTTCAAGACAAGGTTGCTCTGTAAAGACTTGGCTGTCCAGAAACTCACTCTGTAGACCAGGCTGGCCTCAAACTCAAGAGATCTGCCTGCCTCTGCCTCCCAAGTGCTGGGATTGAGAGCGTGCACCACCACTATCCAGTTAGTTTTTTAATTTTTTCATTTTTATTTGTGTATGTATGTGTGTATATATGTCACGTAAGTGTAGGTACCTGTAGCGGCCAGAGAGGGCATCTGATTCACTGGAGTTGTGGTTATAGACTGTTGTGAGCTACTTAATGTGCCTGCTAGGAAGTGAACTCAGGACCTCTGGAAGAGCAGTGAGTACTATTGACCCCTGAGCCATCTCTCTGGCCCCATCCTTTTGAGGTCCTCCTGTCTCCCAAATAGCAGGGATTATAGACCTGTTTTATTACATCCAGCCACACCCATCTTCCTTCCCTTCTTTCTCTTCCTCTCTTTTGAGACAAAAGTTTTGCCACAGAGCTCAGGGAGCTTCAAAAAAGTTTAATTACATTTATGTTTGTGAGAGTGCTTGTGCCATGTTGTCCTATGGGAGTCAGTTCTGAGGGCTGACATCAGGACCTCAGACTTGGCAGCAAGCACCTTCTCCTACTGAACATTTTGTCAGCCCAGGTCTCAAAACTCCTGTCAGTCCTACTTCCTTGGCCTCATGAGTGGCCCCCATGCTCTGCCGTATCTCTGATCTTGTAAGATCAGACCCCACCTCTGGGTCTCATCAATTTCTCTCCTAAATATTCTGCTCCAGGGATCCCTGTGATCAGTGTGGAACAGAACCCAAGACCATCAATCCCTCAACATCCAATCTCCCCTTGACAACTCTCCAGGTACTACCCCATTCCCATCTGTCAGAGAAGATGAGGCAGGGCCTCCCTGTGCAGCCCAGGCTGACCTAGAACTTGCAATTCTTCTGCTGAAGCTTCTTGAGTGCTTGAGTGGGTGTGTATACCACCATGTCCAGCTTTTGTTTGTTTTTGTTTTGTTTTTTTTTAAGACAGGGGTTCTCTGTGTAGCTTTGGAGCTCCTGGAGATCTGCCTGCCTCTGCTTCCCAAGTGCTAGGATTAAAGGTGTGATTCACCAACACCCAGCCCACCATTGTCCAGCTTTCTACCTGATGTCAAACACTGGAGAGTCAAGGGCCTGATCGCAGGCCCTCCTCCCATTCTAGGCCAGGGGTTGGCAATGTTTCCCATAGAGTCGCACACTGACAGTTTCTAGCCTCTTGTCTCACATAATTCATTTATAATATTAAAATGCATCCTTGGTGGGCAGTGGTGGTGCACGCCTTTAGTCCCAGTACTCGGGAGGCAGAGGCAGGTGAGTGCGAGACCAGCCTGGTCTATAAGAGCTAGTTCCAGGACAGGCTCCAAAGCTACACAGAGGAACCCTGAAAAAAAGCATCCTCTTGGGCTGAACTTGTGACTTAGTTGATAGAGTGCTTGCCTAGTGTGAATAAAGCCATGGATCCCATCCCTGGTACCACATAAACCTGGTGTGGTGGTACCTGTAACCCTACCACTAGTAAGACGAGATAGAGACAGGGAGAGCAGAAGTTCAAGGTCATCCTTGAGTACATAGTGAGTATGATGCCTGACATGAACATCTGAGACTACCTCAAAAGAAAAAAAAGAAAAAAAAGGAAAAAGAAAAAGAAAAAAGAAATCAAGGATCATCAGGTGGCCCAGCAGGTAAAGACACTTGTCACCAAGTGGAACAACCTGAGTTCAATCCCTTGGTCCCCATAGCAGAAGGAGAAAAAGTGTAAAAGTGCACATGTGTGTGCACACATATACAATAAATGACATGCAATAAGTAGATGGATAAATAAATACACTCACTGGTATGTTTGTCGAAATAAGACCAAGTAGTCTTGGAATGGCATTGTTGGCAATGATATCATCTCTGAATGCTGGGCCGTCACCTACAAATGGAAGAGAACATGAAGCAAAAGATCTGGCACAAGCCTTTGAACCCAGCACTCAGGAGGCAGAAGCAGGTTTAATCGCTGAGTTCAAGGCCAGCCCAGTCTACATAGTGAGTTACAAGCCAGCCTGGGTTACATCTCAATCCACTCTCCCCAAAAAAATGGACAAGGAGAAACCCAAATTGAGTATCTAACTTAAAGTTTATACTCAATGGGGCTGGAGAGATGGCTCAGTGGTTAAGGATACATATTGTTCTTATTGTGTATCTGCCCTGGCAGGCAGCTCACACAACTGTGTATAATTCCAACTCCATGAAGATATAACTCTCTCCTGGCCTCACATGTATTCACATGCACACACAGACACATGGATACATACAAGAAAACCTTTTTTAAATTTATGCCTAATTTATCCAGTTAGATGGCTCAGTGGAAAAAGGTACTTGCAGCTAAGCCCAATGACCTGAGTTCAATTCCCAGAACCTTGGTGGTGGAAGGCTAGAAAGTTGTCCTCTGAGACCCCACATGTGAGTTGTGGCATGTGTATAATCCCCACCCCCACTCCCACCTCAAATAAATGGTTGTAATTATTTAAAGTTTATACAGATGGTAAGAGACTAAAACTCAGTTTGGTGTATATGCCGAGTAGCTAGAATGACTGTACACTGGATCCTGGGTTTCCTAGGTGGCGTGTGTGTGTGTGTGTGTGTGTGTGTGTGTGTGTGTGTGTGTGTGTGTGTGTGTGTGTGTGGTGGTGGTGGTGGTGTGGTGGTGGTGGTTACATGCCCAACAACACCACAAGCAGGCACTGCACAGCTGCACCTGTTCTAAGCAGAGGTCATGGGCACAGAATGAGGACAGCCAGCTTTGCCTAGAAGTTTAGCTGATTATAAACACTAGCTGCACTTCATACCATGGCTCTCAGGAAGACAGGTGCTTGTAGAGAAAACTATTTTCCCCTAAGAATGTGGGCATGGGCATTCACTTCCAAATGCCATTCAGAACAAACTCTGGGGTCTACAGAAGGTGGACATCAGTCATTAGCAATTTTGCCCTGTGTGCTTTTTTTTTTTTTTTTTTTTTTTTTTTGAGATGGGGTCTCATAGGTTGTCCTGGCTGGCCTGAACTCAGAGATTCACCTGCTTCTGCCTCCTGAGTGTTGGAATGAAAGGCATTAGCTGCCATGCCTACCCACTTATTATTTCTATTTAGACAGGGTTTCACTCTGTAGCCTTAAACCCACAGAGATCCACCTGCCTGTTTCTCAAGTGCTGGGATTAAAGGTGTGCACCTTCATGTTTGGCCAGTTTTGTTGTTTTTGTTTTTTGCTTGTTTGTTGTTTGGGGATATTTTGTTGTGTTTGTTTTGTATTGCTTTGTTTTTGTAAGCTAGTGTATTGTTATATATCTGACACTGGCCTCAAACTCACTATGTAACCTAGATTGGTCTTTGTCTCCTTACTGGCCTCAACCTTGCCAACTCTTTAATATAGCAATTATTTTTTGACATGCATGTGTGTGTGTGCACATGTGTATGTATGTGTATGTGCAAGTGTCTATACATGTATATGTATATATGTGTATATATGGGTGTGTGTATGTGTGTGTGTATGTGTGTGTGTGTATGTATGGGTGTGTATATATGGGTGTACATGTATGCACATGTGTGTACGTATGTGTGTATATATGTGTATATATATGGGTGTGTATGTATGGGTGTGTGTGTATGCATGTGTGTGTGTGTGTGTGTGTGTGTGTGTATGCATAGCATACATATCAATGTGCAAGTGCAGAAGACAATTTGTAGGAGTCAGTTCTGTCTTTTCATAACGTAGGCTCTGAGGCTAGAATTCGTTCGGGTCATCAGGCTTGGTGTCAAGTGCCTCTTGACCATTGAGTCATCTTACTGATTCTTAATAAACAACATTTTCATTTTCAAATTCAGTTTATTTTATGGGTGTGTTCTGCCTGTGTATATGTATATGTACCATGAATGTGTCTGGCACCTGAGGCCAGAAGAGGGCACCTGGAACTGGAGTTTCAGGTGACCGTGAGCTACCACACAGATGCTGGGAACCAAACCAGGTCTTCTGCAAGAGCAGAAACATCTCTCCAGCTTGTTTGTTTTCTGAGACGGAGTCTCACTATGTGCTCTGGCTACCCTGGAACTTCCTAAATATTTCAGGCTGGCCTCAAATTCAGTGTGTAGCTAAAGGTGTTCTTGAACTCATAATCTCCAAGTGCACCAACATGCCCACTTGTATATAGTCCTGGGGATGAAACCCAGAGCCTCCTGCATGCTAAGCAAACACCCTACCAACCAAGCTATGTCTCCCCAATCCCAGTGTCTGAAAATGATACTCTAGAAGTTTCTCTTTGCACCATTAGCTATCAAGGCGAAGCCTAGGTCACACTTACTGCTTGGTCTTAGTTTCCTGTCAACACAACTGAAAGAAACCCAACCACAGTTGTGAGCCTTCCCTGAGCATTTTCACAGTGGGTGTTGTGCCAGGAGGTACTGGGGAATGCCTTTTATCCCAGCACTCAGGAGGCAGAGGCGGGGGATCTTAGTTCGAGGCCAGCCTGGTCTACAGAGCAAGTTCCAGGATAAAAACCAAAAAACAAAAACAAAAACAAAAACAAAAAAAAAAAACAAAAAACAAAACAGAAAAAAAAAAAAAGAAAAAAGAAAAAAGAAAAGAAAAGAAGCCATCAGAGTGGTTGCTTTGTATTCTCTTGGCTAATTCAGGCTTTGAAGTCCCTAGAGACCTATGTGCTGACTCAGTGAGTTTCAGCTTCTCTGAACTTGAAAACTACTAACGCTTGGTTGGTTTTAGCTTGTCAAAATCCCGAGGGGCCCAATTGTGCTCTCTCCCCAGATGACATTTATATTCATTTCAGTCAGTAATCTGGGGGCTCCTACTCTTTAGCACTAACTCCCTTAGGTTTCCTCAGACCATACAGGGGATAAAGCAGCCACCTCCAAGACTACACTAAACTCTTCAGGGAAAAAACTTTCAGGGACGCCGTCTCTCCATCTCACCACATATATGTCATCTATATTTATAAATTCACACACATACACCTCACCTAGTGAGTTTTATGCTTCTATGGCCCTGGGCTGTATAAGAATAAACCCATAGTGCAAAGGCCACAGACAGGGTCTCCCTCATGTAGCCTAGGCTGGCTTCAAACTTACTGCGAAAAATGACCTTGAACTTCTGACCCTCCCACTCATGCCCTCCTCATGCTTTGTATGATGCTGGGAATGGAACCCTGGGCTCTGCAATGCTATTTTTCCCAGGCTACTTTGATCTTATTTTCAGTTTTTCAGGCAAGGGCTTACTATGTACCCCTGACTGGCCTGGGACTCACTTGAGAGACCAGGCTGGCCTTTAGCTCAAAACGATCCCATCACTTGTCTAAATGCTGGGGTTACAAGCTTGCACCCCATGCCTGGCTTTGGTTTTGTTTCATTTTTGTGTATGTGTGTCTGTGCGTCCATGTACTGGTAGAAACTAGAGATCAATGTTGAGTGTCTTAGTGTCTTCCTGAAATTATTTTCCACTTTTTTTTTTTTTTTCAGAGATGGGGTTTCTTACTGAACCAGTAGCTGGCAAGCAAACTCCAGGGATCAACCTGTCTCCACTCCTCTAGAGCTGGGATTGCAAACACTACCAAACAGACTGGGGAACAAACCAGTCCGCATGCCTATTCCCCAACCCATGTTGTTGCTATTTGAGACACAGCCTCACTGACCCCAGGCTGTCCGCAAATTATGACCTTGAATTCCTGGTCCCCCTGCCTCCACCTTCCAAGTGTTAGGATTAGCTGTGCACCATGTGTGTTGCTCTGAGACTTATCTTTGTGCTAGAGGCCATTAAGGCCTGAGATATAGGACCTGGACTCAGAAGGCATTCCTGGGTAGCTTCTCACGTTAGCATGTGCTGCATCATCTGTTCTCAGCCTCTGACCTTGCTTCTGGGTTCTGAACAGCTCATTCCCCAGCACAAGGTCTTCATAATGGGATGAGGGTGGGCGCCAAGTCATGGAGTGTAACAGAGAAGTCCACCACCTCCATGCCTTAGCCCACTAAGGGAAGTGTCTTACCGGCTATATTACCAAGGGCCCACACTGCCTGCTCACACACAGTCACATGTGGAGAAGACAAGAGTTCGATCAGGGGCTGGATGGCACCCCCATTCACAACAGCTTGGGTCTGCTCTGAAGTTCCTGAGGCAATGTTGGTGAGAGCCCACGCTGCCTCAAACTGCAAGTCAGGGAGAAGTGCCACCTTCAGGAACTCTACCAGCTTGGGAATGAGCCCTGCCTCGATAATCGATTTCACAGGAGGGTTCCTTTCCTGAGATAGCATTTTCCTGTGCAGTGAGACAGAAAGAGTGGGGAGAGTCACAGTTCTGAGGAACTCCTTTTTCAGATAGTCTTCAGCATTTCTAACTATCTGTTTTTCAATACTGCTAATTGAACCCAGGGCCACATATACGCTAGGCAGGGGCTCTTCTATAAGCCACATCCCAGCCCTCACTGGGGGATTCTAGACAGGTGCTCTACCCCTAAACTAAAACCCTAATCCTTAACTATCAGATAAGAGAGTTAGCTAGGGCTATTGTTAACTCTGTAACACTTTGCAGGAGCCCTAAAGCAACATCTTGCCCTTCAGGTATTATCTATGAGCTAAAATCCCTGCAGAGGCCAATGTAAATTAAGCAATTCATCTCTGACAACACACTGCATTTCTTAAGTTGCCCTCAAGGACGATGGCGCATAGTAATCACCTCCTGCTTTTGGATGAACTAGCTCTTTTCCACAATGTATGGGCATTTTGCCAATGCCAGGAAATCCAACAGGCTACTGGAGCTCATTTTGGCTATAAAACTACAAATACCAGAAGGTCTACATGGTGATACCTGACAGCCTGAGTGGCCTTGAGACACAAGATTGGATTTGAGCTTTTCACACCTTTGATTATATCTTCCAGAATGAGGCTGGCCTGCCAGGAAAAAACACATTCATGTCAGTCATTCAGCCTCTGTCAAAAGAAACCACAGGGCCAACAAGGTGGCTCAGAGGGTAAAGGTACTTTCTGCAAAGTCTGACAATCTGAGTTTGATACCCAGGACCGACAAGGTGGAGAAAATGGACTCTTACCAATTGTTCTGACATCTATATATGCATGTGGTTATATAAACACACACAGATAGACAGAAAATAAATTCAACAAACTTGCAATAAAATAATGTTAATAATAATAACAATATAAAGATAAAAATAAGGAAAGTATAAACATACTTAGTTTAGTGGTCTCTTAGAGTTGAACAGATGACCATGGTATACCCACAGCTATACTAAGGCAGGGAGGGATATATATTAGCCTATAAATAACAGGTAAAGTAGGTTGTTCTCCATGCTTAAGACAGGTGATCCTGGTACCCTCAGCATCTTTTTTAAATATGTGCGTGCTTGTACCTAAGACACACATACATATGAACACATATAATAGCAGGTGTCCATACCACTGAGCCACACACCTCAGACTCTTACTGGGGGATTCTAGGCATGAGTTCTACCACTGAGCCACATCCCAGCACCTCATTGGGGTAATTTAGGCAGGGGCTCTACCATTGAGCCACACCCCAGACCCTTACTGGGGGATTCTAGGCAGGAACTCTTCCACTGAGCCACACCCTAGCCCCTCACTGGGAGATTCTAGGCAGGTGCTCTTCCACTGAGCCACACCCTAGCCCCTCACTGGGAGATTCTAGGCAGGTGCTCTACTGCTAAGTCACACCACAAATCCTACTCCTTTCTTTAAATTGAATTAAATAGCAAGCTCTGACTCTATCAAGCCTTCTCATGCTAGAGATGCTATAGCCATGGCTGTTCCCTGCACAGGATGGCCTTCAACCCTTAGTTCTAACAAACCATTTTGACTGGTTCTTGAGAAACCAAGTCATTGGAGAACTGGCTGATATTTCTTCTCTTTAAGGCCTGCTCGTCTTTCTTGGCCTTTCGGAGTTGCAAGTTGGCAGCAATCCTCTGTTGTCGCCTCGCCTAATAGAGAAAACAAATAATTGGAGTTGTTATAGCCAGGTTGCTGGAAAACCAGGACTTTAATCTATTTTGGGGTTTATTATTATTATTGTTGTTGTTGTTGTTATTTAATATTTACAGGTGTTATGTATGTCTGTGTACCGTGTGTGTGTGTGTGTGTGTGTGTGTGTGTGTGTGTGTGCGTGCTTCTTACAGAAGCCAAAGATGGTGCCAGATTCCCTCAAACTGAAGTTACAGGCCATTGTGAGCCATCATGTGGGTGTTGGGAATTGAACCTGGGTCCTCTTAAAGAGCAGACAGTGTTCTTAACTACTCTGCCATCTCTCCAAGCCTCTTGTTTCATAAATTTAATTTCACTTACTATTATTCTGTGTGTGTGTACAGCAGGTGTGTGGAGGTAAGAGGACAACTCACAGGGGTCAGTTCTCTCCCTCCACGCCATGGGTTCCTGGATGAACTCAGGCCATCTGGTTAGTGAGGCAGTCAGAACCATCTCACTGACCATGGTTATTTTGTTTAGTTTTGTTTTCAAATGTGCATTCTCTTTACTCCATAGCTCAGGCTGGTCTCAAACCTTAAAATTCTCCTGCCTCAGCTTTGCCAGTATTGAGATGACAAGTGTGTGCCATTACACCCAGCTTACTCCAGGTCTATGAGGCATTTCAACTGTGGCTTTTGTTATAGGTCCTCAGTTTATACTCACAGATACATCTTTGCTGCGGTACTTAAATTTTTTCATCCTGTCTTCGGGAGCCTCTAAGACAGGCATGTTGACGGGAGGAAAGAAGGCACCTGTAGGTAGGAAAATTACCAGAGATCATCATTGCCCAGTGTGAATGTTACTAAGCTAAAGTCGACAGGTACTATGGGACCAGGGAACAAACACAAGGAGTTGGCCACCACATCACCACCCCATCAATGTGGGGCATGAACTCTATCAATGGGCTATGGTTACTATGGGTACACTGTGGGAACTAGTTCTGGATTTACTACAGAAAACCCTTACAGTGCAGCATAGGCTGGGATGTAGCTCAGCTGGTGGAGTGCTTGCCTAGCACACATGAAGCCCTCTCTATCCCTAGTGATATACAAACTGAATTCAGTGGTGCACACCTATAATCAGTATGCAGGGGCGGAGGCAGGATGCTCAAGAATTCAGGCCTTGGGGCTGGAGAAATGGTTCAGTGGTTAAGAGCACCTGTTGTTCTTATAGAGGATGCAAGTCTGATCCCCAGCATCCAGATGGTGGCTCACAACCATCCATTAACTCCAGCTCCAGGGGTTCCAGGGCCACCTTTTGGCTTCTAGTCATGTACATATACACACACAGGCCAAACATTCATACACATAAAATGGAATAAATCCAAAAAGTTTCCAAACTTTTTCAAGACTATCTTTGCTATGTAGGGAAGTTGAAGCCAGCCTAGGCTATGAGAGACTGTCTCCAACAAAGTGCAAATACAGCTTGGTTTGAACCGAGGAGTCACTGGGCGGCAAAGGTAAGCTAGACAGAGAACACAGATGCCCTTTATGGACGCTTGTATGGGATAGGAAGGAAGCCAGTCCAACCCAATAGGAAGCCGCTCTTTCCCCCTCCCCCACTCAGCACACCCACTCACCAGGTCAGAACCAGGTCCAGCCTGGTTCCTCTACCTGGTTAAGGACACAGAATCATAAACTTTTTCCAAGTTGAACCTCTCTCACCCAAGATTTTTGTTTTGGTTTTGAAATAGGATCTTATGCTGTTCAGGCTGGACTCAAAAGCTACAATATAGCTAAGGTGGCCTTGAGCCCCTGATCCGCACCCACCTCCCAAGTGCTGAAATTACAGGTGTGAACCTCTACTACCGCACATGGCTCAACACCACACATGGCTTAACACCACACATGGCTCACCCAAAATATTTTTCTGTGAGGAAATATAAAATAGGTATACAAATCAAGGCCATCAAAGTGGCTCAGCAGGTAAAGTGTTTGTTGGGCAAGGGCAAAAGCCTAATGACCTGAGTTCCATCCCCAGAGCACATACTGGAAGCAGTGAACTCATGCCTGAAGGTTGTCATCTAACCTTCACGTGTGGGAGTGGACGCCCATTCTCATTCTACCCCTCCACACCTCTCCCTCTTTCTCATCTACAAAGAAGAGTTATACAAATTAAATATTTATGGATAACGAATCATCAGCTTATTTAAAGTCTTTTTGAGACACTATGTAGTCTAGGCTGGCCTCCAACTACTAGCAATCCTCCTGCCTCAGCCTTCAGAGTCCCAAGTTATAGGGAGGAGCTATTACACCTGGCTAAGAAATTTACTTTAATTCTCTAAGCAAGGCATAGTGGTGTACATCTGGAATCCCAGCATTTGGAAGGCAGAAACCGAAGGATCCCTTCAACTGTGAGGTCAGCTTGCACTATATACAGAAAGAACTCCAGGTCAGCCAATGGAGTGAGACCCTGTTTTAACTCCTCCTCCCAAAAAGTATACATAAAATTTTGCTCTTTATTAAAGACAGAAGCAAGTTTTCCCACTAGAAAGAGAGATATACTGGCTTAGTTTTACGCAAAGAATTAAATACTGGGAGCAAGCAGCAAGACTCCTCAGCAGGTAAGGGCACTTACCATTTAAGCCTGCTGGCCTGAGTCCCATCCCCAGAATCTGCATAAAGGTCAGTGGAGACAACCAACACCACGAAAACCTCCTCACACTGTGGCATGGACACTTCTTCCCTACCCCACACATCATGTATGTGCTCCAGCTCATATGCACGCACGCACGTGTACACACACATACACACACAGAATTTTTAAAAAAAAGGAAAAGAGAAGTTGGGCTGGAGAGATGGCTCAGCAGTTAGGAGGGTTGAGAACAAGATCTCTAGTCCTGATACCCACATGTGGTGGCTCCCAACCACCTAATACACCAGCTCCGGGAGGTCCAATGCCACCTTCTCCTCTCTGCAGGTACCTGCACTCATATGCACACCCCACATACATAGATAGCACATAATGTAAAATAATAAAAATAAAATATTAAAAAAAAAAACCCAGGCAATGGTGGCACACCTTTAATTCCTGCACTTGGGAGGTAGAGGCAAGTGGATCTCTATAAGTTTAAGGCCAGCCTGGTCTACAGAGCTAGTTCTAGGACAGCCAGGGCTACACAGAGAAACCCTGTCTCAGAAACGACCCCCTCCCAAAAAAGAAAAAGACAGGGCAGGGGAGTGAAAAGGCAGTTGCTACCAAGTCAGACCTGACCACCCAGGTTTGATTTCTAGGTCACCCAAGGTGGAAAGCGAGAACCAACTCCTGCAGGTCATCTTCCTCTGCATGTCTATGCCCCACCCCACCCCACCCCACACACACATGCTCACACATTCATATGAGTAAACCTTGGGCAGACACTGATCTGTGTTTTCCCACTTCATCTGCACCTGTAACAGTGATGTTGAAATCCTTACCCTTGCATCAATAACATCCACTTCCCTCCAGGTAGGATTTACACTAAAACCATGGATTGGATTGGAGTGAGAAAGGCTTCTTCCCGTTGAGTGATGCCACTGACCTTTGCCCTACTTTCTGAGACCACCTGGAGCAGAGGCCATGGGGGTTCCATCATCATTCCTTTAGCCAGACACAATGGCATAAGAGTTCCAGGCACAAAGTTCAACACTGGGGAACCACTCAAGGCTGTCCCCAGCTGCCAGGGAACTCACAATCCGGCAGCAGGCCCTCTACAGCCATTAAGCCTCTTGGGGCTATGGACACTGTTGCAGAGGGGACTGGTCAGGCTGACAAACCCACAGGTGATCTCACCGAGAGCCAGGAGAACAGCCAAGGCATAGGATAACCAGAACTCTAGGCTGCTGTTTGAAGATTCTACTCAAATAAAACCACCAGAAAATTTCAAACATCCTAACTAAAACTAAAATGCCCTGGAAGTCAAGCCTGGTAGCCCAGGCCTCCAATCTCAGCACTCTGAAAGCTGAGGCAGGAGGATGAGGCCAGCCTGGGCTACCTAGCAAGATACTGCCTCAAAAGGGAAAACAAATGCAAATAGTATAGCTAACTTTCTGGACATTAGCTCTGCCCACCTTCAGCCTGTCCTAAACATATTAACATATAGTTGGACAAACTTGCCTAACACAAAAAGGCCTATAACAAAAATAATATAGTCAAAATGTAAAATAATATAGTAAACAACTCCGTCTTTATACAACAGTTTATATTTAGGCTTAGCAAAGTAGACATATCCAGCAGTTGCTGCTTCCTCCTTAGCTGTCATAAAGACGATATTGGAGTTACAATGCCATAAGCCACAGATAACTTCAACCAGCAGACACAGCAACCTAGGCCTTCTCAGGGTAGCCCCTTGGGTTGAGCCATGGCAAGAAGTTGCATGGCCTTCTACAGGAAGAAGAGTCAGTGCCCAGGCAGAAGAGGCCACAGAGCCCCTCGACCCCCCCAAGCATAGGTATGCGCCCCCCTTCTTACTTACTCACCTACAGAGAGCTGCTGTGTTCAGTCCCAGGGCCAGCCTTAAATGCCCACGGTATGGAGCAGGTGTTTTGAGACTGCTCATCCTTCCTGCAGACCTGTTTGCAACCCAAGTGATGAACTCTGGGCCTCTGGCTGTACATTGAGAACACATGGGGAGCTTTGAGCTCCAAGTGATCCAGGTCCAGAGAATGCTTGAGTTGCTTGAAGGTGGGAAGCCTGGGTCTCCCTGGTGACTCTTGTGTCCAGGTGAATTCTGTGAAGGGGACATGAGCACTCAGCATTGAAGGCCCTTGTATAAACTATTAAGGATGAAAAACAGAACAAAAGAGAGTGGAGGAAGAGTATGGGGGATAGAGAAAGAGAGAAAGAGAGAGAGAGAGAGAGAGAGAAAGAGGGTGAATAAACATGGTCTGGGGAAATGACCCAGTCAAGCAGGGGCAACTGAGTTCGATTCCCAGAACCCTTGCAGAAAAGCTGGGCATGGTGGCATGTACTTGTAACCCCAGCACTGGGAATGCAGAGATAGGTGGATCTCTGGTACTCACTGTCCAGGCTGTTTAGCCTATTTGGTGTCAAAAAATAAGGTGGACAACACCAGAGGAACATTTATCTCTAGCCCCTGTATGCATTTGCACATGTGCACACAAACACATATGCTCGCATAGCACATGACACATATACTGGTGTCTTTAAAATTGAACTGAAACACAGATGGACCCACATCTGCACAGGCTGCTGCAAATTCCTTAAAAGGGATGAGAGGTGGAGAGATAAGAGACACAGAGAGAGTGCTCCAGTTCTGGGCTAGGTGAAGAGTTGTAGGTGGGCTGGGCCTGCCGACATATGCCTGTCATCTCAGATACAAGAGAATCAGAAGGATGGCAAGTCCAAGGCCTATCTGGATTACAGAGTGAGCTCAAGGCTAGCCTGGGCAACATAATAAGAAAAAAATAAAAAGGGAGCTAGAATTCCCCAGTGACGGGCTGGGGTGTGGCTCAGTGGGTAGAATGCTTGCAGCGGAAGGATGAGCCAGGTAGGAGAATTCTCTTCCTACACAGCATGGAGAATTTTTTTCACCCTTGCATTAGCTCAGTCTTCTCTCCGTGAAAATGCTGGCACTGAGGATGAGGGAAGGAGGCCTCCTTTAGTCTATTGAACCTTATGATCTGCTGGGTTTCAGCCTGCAATCAGAGAGGGGAGGACAGCGATGGCATATGCCTATAAACCCAGCACTCAGGAGGCAGAGGCAGGTGGGCCAGCCTGGTCTACAGAGTGAGTTCCAGGTAAGC